AAAATCAATTCCTAACTAATTATATTTAATTCCTTTTAATAAATTTTCACATTTATTACAAATACACAAAAGTAACGCACCGTAGAAAAAGTGATCCCTAGCAAATTTTGAGTAGTATATATCATAATGGTACGAACGATTAATGAAAACGTTATCGTGTTCGACTTATACTCGCAATCGAGTTCATTAACTTTCTTACTATGTTAGATCGTGAGCATAAAGTAAAGCTAAATTATGTAAATATGTAAGAATGTTGTAAAATGGCACTGATTTGTACATATTGCCACTACCTACTTACCATAAAAATAACGGATAAAAATAAATGCCAATTGCTCATGGATTTGTTTTTTTTTATGATTGTAGTTCAAACAATACGTTACATTAATCCGCTTCCAGTAACAGCTACGTAAATTAGATCATAATGACGAACAGAGCTAACAAATGAAAGCGCTTACAAATGCTGTTTTCAAAATAATCGTATTGGCAATAGGCAAGATGTCATCCTTTGCATATACGTATTTATTTATTTATTTATTTTATATATATGTACACATATATTTTCGTTGCGAGAACATATTGGGGAAAATAAAAAAAAGGTATTTTCAAGCAGAGATGTTGCACTTTAATATATTTAGCTGACATTTCTCCTCATTTATAACTCTAATTTACTTCCTTTAATTTACCAAAAAATCCATGTCCATTCATATTTATACGTAGCCATAGGTACATTCCCCGTCATTTCCTACAGAATGATAATTTATGTCATATATTGCGGTTCAATATTAAACTTACCAAATTAGCAACATTTTCTTCAAAAAGAGGATAGATATTTGAGGTACTGATCTGATTATATGAACGGACAAACTGTTGACTATTAAACATTTCACTTCACATTGTATACCTAATGTATAATATATCAGATATGTGAAGTCTGAAGCGTGAAGTTTGAAGCGTGAAGTTTGAAAACTGAAGTGTAAAATTTGAAGAGTGAAGTTTGAAGTGTGAAGTTTGAAGTCCGAAATTTTGAGCCTGAAATTCACAATTTCATGTAATATTTGAATGATTCATAAATGTTATATAACTATACCATCACGTTGCTGTGTTTGTGTTTGGACGGACCTGCGTTCGTGCTTGTCCAACCGGTTACCTATATCCGCGAATTCTCCAGAAGAGTATTGGCCTTAATTGATTTGGAGGATAGTGGAAGATACAGAAACATGACCCAATCCAGAAACTTCTCCTGTTTCTTAACTGTGTCAAGTGTTTAGCATTCATAGGCGGGGCCACTATGTAAAGTCTCATCCAAAATAAGCTCGCCTATTAAGAGAATATAGAGTGGAATTCTTCCCGCACAAAAGTCGGCGTCGTCGTTATATTTTGATAAAGTCACTGCGTAAAAGTTGGTATCTCCAAAACTACTTGCAATTGGTTTAAACTTCACACACTACATATTTGTTCTGTGTTAATTTCTGTTAAGGTCCAATAACTCTTTGTTAAGCCCATTTTCTTACTGTCAAACATATATGAATCGAGCAAAGCGCGCTGTCTTGTTTAGTCATTTGGAGTCACGAGCATCGTATATTATTAACCCTCACTTTTTTCGTAATGTTAATTTCCCATAGGCTTCTGGGTGTTATTCTTGGGGTTAATACAAGTGTACCACGTGACTAATGAATTTTAACAGTATAAAATCTGGTCACGTGGTATATTTTCAAAATAAAATAAAATAAAAAGGCCGCCACGGTAGGGCATTACCAGAGTAATGTTCCAGGCCATATTCCAGGACGGTGCAGGTCACTTTCATTGTGATTGATCATAAATTATTTTCTACAATTAATGGCACTGCACCTCTGCTCTTACACGAACAGAAGTAACTAGCACCTGTTTGCGAAAGGTAAGGCATCTTGTTCTGTGAATCAATCAAACCGAGCCTGCAATGTTTATTTAATATTGTTGTAATCAATGCTTCCTAAAGATCACATTTGATCGGGATATGTATACTTCACAATAGCAGGTGTCAACTGCCGTATGGCAGCTGTAGAAATTGCCTTGTACTTCGCTTCAGTTTGTTACATTTTTTGGTATTTCAGGAATTTTGATTCCAGCACGTGTGGGTACCGCTCAAGTTGGTGCCAGAGTATGCCTCACTTTTTCATTATCCCTCGTGTACAGACTCAATAAAACCGAGCCCGTCATTTTCATGTAATTTTGTTGTGATTTATGCTTCCAAGGGATGACATTTCATCCAGATTTTTTTCTGGCCTCAGTCAGTGGTTAAGGCTATGACAGTGACACATTTTACGTCATCGTTCATAAAAATATTACTACAAGAAACCAATGTATACATCGATGACTTGTTTCTGCGACCTCATGAATGTACATGGGTGGAACTATTACAGCTTTTACAGCATGATTAACAATTTCTAATGATTGACACACTGATTTTTTTTTATAGAAGATGCATTGCTATAGTGTTAATGTATTCCCTCTTATAAACCGATCAAAGAGAGAAAAAACATTTTTTTCTGAGCCATAATGTTCTATTAATATTTTTATTTACTTTCAATAAGGATACTTACACGTTATGGCACAAAAACAGTTTTCTCCAATTTGTAAACACTTAACAACAAAAAATGAACATCCAGGACTCAAACTAAGGCTTTCCCGTTAAGTAAACAAATGACCTACACGTACACGTACATGAATTATTTTCAGTCGGGTTCACTAACTTGAAGGTTAATGTAGCATAGGCAGTATTTGGAAAAGCTTAAGTATGTTAGACAGGCGCACATTTGTACAAGTTGACGCCACGACTTTTCATAAAAACGGATAAGTTTATAAATGTTAATGCCAAGTATAAGGAGACTATGCTAAATGTTTGCTGATAACATGCAATTTAAACACGCTTGTGATATATTGTAATAAAAAAAATATCCGCTTACAGTATTAGCTTGGTGAAACAGATGAAGCAAATGTTTTATACATGCATATATTTTCTTTTTTTTTCTACAGCAGTTTTGTAACATTTATTTGGTCAATTCGCGTATGTCGGTCCACCAAATGGGTTTCTCCGCAAGTGACCAACGACCTGTACCACATGATTTCTGAATTATTAGTGAGAAACAAATGACCATTTGATTCAATGTTCGATATAAATTCACTAATATGCGTATGTACGGACCAATGATCCTTTGATTAAAAATTCGTTTTTTTCCTAATGAGCTAAGCTAAGCGAGAGCGTGTTTGACCCTACAACAGTATTAAGACCTTTTCAGGAAACGGTATATATTTTCAAATTTAGATTATCTGACTTCTTACAGCTTGCTATAAATATTCAATGGTTTACATTTAAGCATAGACGAAATCCACATATTCTTAGCGATATATTTAATATATAGTTTCTTTATGGTGATTTCTGACCAAAAATGTTATTGTATTTGTTGTAAAAAACAATTTGTACTTACGCTTTATAACAATACAAAGATCAACAAAAAAGCCGTTCACGGAAAGCAGCTCCCAATAATGTCCAGTAAGACACGATTCCAACGTGTAAAAACGGGGTATATATGGAAGTGGCTCAAGGGCAGGGAAGTGATGGGGTACAAAAGTCACAAAAAAAAACACCATAACCTACCATTTAAACGTTATACAAATATTGCTTTGTTTTCTTTTATCAGTTGAAATTGTATAACATTAACAAAATAGTTGATATGTAAACCTTAAAGAACGTCAAAACGGCAAAAGCAGGCATGGTTTGAATGAGCCTTTTCATGGACGGTTGCTGAAATGCATGCTATACCCTATCACCGGTGTAAGCATTATTCATCATTTAAACATGAATATGATGAAAGTTTTAATTTAGCAACCTATGCAGAAGACTTCACACGGCGGTTATCATGGAAATATTCAAAGTGACATGTTTGTGCCAGTTTAACAAAAGCGTATGGTCCTGCAAGTAAAAGAATGCCCTTACCTAAAAACAATTGACGAATCAGAATAAATAAAATTTTGAAAGGGGATCAGAGATTTACATGTACCGTACTTCAAAACGTTTGTTTTGCATTCCTCCTACAGAGGGGGTAGTCCGTTTTATCCGCCTAAGATAATCAGACTGTACTTTGTTTTGATTTGTTTATACTTTATTGAATATGTGATTGCATTTCAAAAAGATTGTCGCGCGTTGGGTGCTGCATTTCATCTCACAAACAGACGGGACGGGCTCAATTACGTATTACGTAGTCAGTATACAAAAAGAATTCGTACAAACTAAATGAAAAAGATCGTTTAAACAATAATTATGACGTCAAAATAATGGATGATGATATGGTGGTTCACATGATATTTGCTACGATTTTAGCGGTGATTTACGATTTTAGCGGTAATTTAGCCACAAAAAAAGATTCTGATGGAAAGCATGTAAATTATGGCTGTATAGAAATATGTGGAAACACGCTATTTTTCAAAGAGATAAAATAGAGTTCATGTAACACTGATCTATTCCGAAATATAAACCATTGGAAGGAATTTGTTTTGTTGATTTAGATTGACTTTGTAATCATGTTGTTGGGGTGGTGCTGAATATCAATTTACATTGCCTAGCCACTGGCATTCTGTCGTTGCCTACCGTACGGTCCGGGGAAAACCGGTATATTGAAGGAAATAATTACCTAAATGTGAATGAAATTGTATGTTATTTTGTAAAGTAAACCAAGTAGTACACCAAGCAAATTTTATTGACATTCATAATAAAACCATTTCATGTTGCATTACACCATAATTTCCGCCTAACAGAAAAAACAGATATTTGGGAATAAAATATCAATGACCTTTATATTATAACCTAGACAGTTACCTATGATAAATAGAGACTATCACCTTTAACGATAATCCGATTATAGTAACAGCCTGGTGACCCGCGTGAATAAAAAAACAGATGCACATCATTATCAGCCAAACATTGTAGGCATACGGTTGTCTTTTTTGAAGTGACAGAAATGTGCAGGATGTCTCAATCTATTCTTGTGGCGTTTATTTTATTGCTTCAGATATGTTCGGGTCGGAAGAACGTTTTGTTCTTAATTGCAGACGATATGCGGGCACAAATTGGGGCATATGAAGGAAAACACTTTCCAGCTGTGGTGTCTCCAAAGATGCATACACCGAATATAGATACTTTAGCTTCACGTAGCTTACTTTTGGAAAGAGCTTATTGTCAGCTTGCAATATGTGCGCCAAGCAGAACCTCATTTTTGACCGGGCGCAGACCGGATACTACAAATGTTTACGAGATTGGGCCTTACTTCCGGGATATTGGACGAAATTTTACAACACTACCTCAGCATTTCAAAATGAATGACTATTTATCAGTAGGAATGGGAAAAATATTTCATGCAGAAATATCTTCCGGCTGGGATGATCCGATTTCTTGGTCAGAACCATACTTCCACGGCGTAGCAAACTTTGAGTCCTTTAATTCAACTTGGGCTGCTGTTCCTGACCACCTTCTCATAGATAACCCTCTAATAGACGAGCAAATTGCCAACCAAGCAATAAAAACTATGCAACGACTTGCTCCAGATGCAAAATCGGGAAAACAACCATTCTTCTTAGCCGTAGGTTTTCAGAAACCACATTTGCCATTTGTTTTTCCGGAATAATTTTTAAAGTATTATCCTGCTTCTACAGTTAAGCTTCCAAGCAATCCATTTATTCCTGTCAACATGCCAGATGCCGCATGGTTTGATTACCGAGGGCTCAGAAGACATGCCGATGTTAGAGCGTTTAATGTTACCGGAGAGATCAATTCAACTCTGCCAGATATGTTGGCACTTCAGATAAGAAGGGCGTATTACTGCTCTGTATCATGGACTGATTCTTTGATAGGTCGTGTTTTGGCAGAATTAGACAATCTGGGCTTATCAAATGACACAATAGTCTCGTTTTTTAGTGATCATGGTTACACACTAGGCGAGCACACTGAATGGACAAAGCAAACCAATTTTGAACTGGCCACACACGCACCGATGATGATCAGTATACCAGGGCTTACGGACAAAGGGATACGTTCAGAACAACTTACCGAACTTGTTGACTTATTTCCGACTTTAGTTGAAGCAGCTGGGCTTAAAAAGTTACCGGTTTGCCCGAAGAATTCTGCTAACGTGTCGTTGTGCAGCGAAGGTTCAAGTCTTATTCCCCTAATAAGACAACCCTTGAAACCAATAAAGAAAGCTTCTTTCTCGCAATATCCAAGATGTGGAAGGATGGGCTATTCCATGCGAACAGATCGGTACCGCTATACAGAGTGGACAAAGTTCAGTCGAGAACCTGATTATAAAGCAGAATGGGGAAATCTATGTGGAGTCGAATTGTATGACCATTTAATAGATCGTGAGGAAAATTATAATCATGCTTATGATGATGAATATAAGGATATAAGAAAAGAGCTCAGTACAATGCTAAGAGATGGCTGGAGAAAGTCTATTGTGGAAAAATAAAGAAACATTATGAACTTGTATACGATTCGGAGTTGTCATTTGAAATGTAGATAAGACTATTCGAAATTTTATGGTTAAGTTCATATGTTATTTACAGTCGTTTAATTTCACTTTCAATGTTCGTGTTTTCTTCTTAAGCTTCTAGGACCTTATAATTAAAGCTAAATAAAAGCTGATATTAAATTTTGTCAAGTAATTCTATTTTTCATACATCATGTACATATCAATATTCACCAATATACCCCATTTAACTATTTTAAAGGAATACTGGTTCGATTTCTTTCGGTGATATCTGTCTTAATGAGTTAAAATTACCAATTATAAATGATAAATTATAAAACACTTTGTTTTCCGGAATGATAATGAACCAGTCGTGACTTAATATTCCCTTGTCTTAGAGTAAATCAGCGCGATGATTATTTGACTTGGTATGGTAACAAATTTGCGCAGATATTGACTTTAAACAAGAGTTTTTTTGAATTACAAAAACGTCTGGTCTCCTTTATTACTTTTTCCAGTTAAATGTTTGTTTTGTCTAATTTAAAACAAAACAAGCTATTTCTAAAATCTAATTATATCCTCTTGTTTTATTAGAATATTAGTTGTAACGCACAAACTACCAAGAACAAATTATGAAGTGTAGTTATCTGACTTCCTAAATTTCTGTCATATATAAATTTTGGAATTATACATTTACAACAAAATATCTTAACTACAGACTTTTAAATATATAACTTGATATACTTATAAGTTAAGTGATATATTTTTGTGTCGTCTTAAAAAGGTGACATATAGGGATTACTTTTGTCGGCGGTGTCGGCGGCGGCGGCGTTGTCGGCGTCCCCTAAAGCTTGTCCGGAGCATAAGTCAGTCACTTAAAATCTGATTGACTTCAAACTTGGTATGCAAGCTTTTTTTTTAAATAACCCAAAGTGCAGTGCACAAGGACCGGTCCTCTGCACTTCTTAATTTTCGAGTTATTGCCCTTTGTTAATTTTCATACTTTTATTTTGTCCGGGCCATTTCTCTTCAACTATAAAAGCTATGGACTTGAAACTTAATAGGATGATAGATCTCATTCAGAAGAAGTGCAGTGCACAAAAACTGGTACTCTGCATTTCTTAGTTTTTTACTTATTTCCCTTTGTTAATTTTCATACTTTATTTTTGTCCAGGCCATTTCTCCTAAAGTATAAAATATATGGACTTGAAACGTCATAGGATGATAGATCTTATTAAGAAGAAGTGCAGTGCACAAGAAGTGTAACTCTGCATTTCCTAGTTTTTGAGTTATTGCCCTTTGTTAATTTTTATACTTTGTCACGGTCATTTCTCCTCAAGTATGAAAGCTATGGACATGAAACTTTATAGGATGATAGATATCATTAAGAAATAGTGCAGTGTTTAAGAACCGGTACTCTGCACTTCCTATTTGTGAGTAAATACCCTTTATTAATTTTCATACTTTATTTTGGTCCAGGCTATTTCTCATTACTGAGTTATAAAAGATATTGACTTGAAACTTCATAGAATGATTGAGCTTGATAAGAAGTGCAGTACATAGAAATTGTTGCTCTGCACTTATTATATTTTGAGTTATTGACCTTTGTTAGTTTTCATATTTCATTTTTTTCCTCGCCATTTCTCCTAAACTATATTGTTCACAAGGCGACACATCCGACTCGCGGAGTTCTAGTGAATTGGTAATTTTAGCACAGATGAATAATAAGGACTGTGGGAATGAAATAGTTCTGATTTTCGTCATTCATCGTCGTTGCGATGCCCTTGCCTATTAAGATTTCCCCGACCACGATACAAAACATCAACCACATATTACCGTTGGCATAACCTGTTTTGGACGGTCTTCAAGGTGTAATTGATGTTGCTTGTTGAGGCATTCATGTCGTCTAAATTAATGACAATTAAATTTTTTATTCAATTTGCATAAAAAACTGAATGTTGCTGAAAACTATATACAATGTATACGTATATGTGTTAGCAAAAATAAAAATAGAAACTAACAAACAGAAAAAAAATAAGCCACACATGTCGTACAGGGTTATGTAAAATAACAGCTCCAATATTTTTCAAGTTTTTGAACTATCATTGACATGCTGTGGACACATATTTTCAAAGTGGCACAAAAATATTTTTTAATTGACACATACTTACACTTAGTTTGGTAAGATGCAAATAAACTTTATTTACAGAATACCGAATATTGCACTCTTTTTGCAAAGTGTACTTCTTCTGCATTTTTATAACTATACATGTGTTTGTGTTTTGTTGCAATAGACATCAATAGACATTTTCGTGTTAGTATTTGACATTAAAACAGATATAGTGGTCAATGACAATGCAAATGGGAAACTGGGCGACTCTAAATAAAAAGTACGTGTAGAATTGTATATATGTCTCTGTTTTATTAAATTTCTTATAAACAAATTTCTTTTTTCAACTTGAAATTTAGATTAGGCATCATTTTGTACATCTAATAGCTCAAACATTAATCAAGCCAACAGTTGAATATGTACGTCATTTCTTGTAAAAAGCTGACAGGAAGCGAAACGTTTGCCAATATAATTTGAATGAGTTCGGACAACTGATGTTCCGTTTACTGATATTCTTGACTGTGGAAAGTTATTAGTTTTGTGAAAATTTTACTTGATACTTTAGGTCTTGCCGTTTTGGTGTAGAAAAGGGAACGGTAATTGTCATGACGTACATACCCACTTATGTGTACCATATTATTCTTCTTTATTTAACACCTTTGAATTTGGTCAATAAATTTCCAGCATCCAAGCTACACTTTTAAGTTCTAAAAGACATTCTTCTTGTTGTAAAATATCAGTTGAGTTTGTCGTACCCCCCCCCCCCCTATGAGAGACAAAATCTTTTACGGAATTTAAAAAAACATATATCGCTCGCTCGCCTCGATTGATTTTAGTGTTAGAAAACAAACAGGGTGGTTGCAATTAAAGGATGCGACTATCTTCCCATAAACAGCTTCCGAACCAAGATAGCTGTTGACCCGTAACATATTTCTTTCTTTTCTCTTATACATTCGTAATAGAGAAACGTTGCACAACTTAAATATGGACACTCGGATTCGGATTTAAAAAGAAAACTTGAATCAGCTGTTGGAAGTTCGTCATTGGGGAGACACAACATAATCACCTACTTGTATGCATCTCTCGTTATATTAAACAGCCATTTCCATGATACTTATTCTCATTACAAAGGTATACCAATCCACTTTCCACCAATCTATTGTTTGGTTTTATTAACCTGTCAGTTACATACTGATTACACGGTCGATGCACACAGTATATTAATCTTCGGGAGATGTTCGGTAAGTTCCGTGAGATGTACGCTGTACGATGGAATTTAATTTAATTTCTATCTCTAAACTATGTGTACTCAGCGTTATAGCCCAGTAGGGTAAATCACGAGTTTATAATCTAAGCGCTACACGTGTTTTAAGTTCGAGGTCGCGTTGGTCCATGTTTTTTTTCTTAGTAATACTTCCAACATTATTGAATTTATATATGATCATTTTATGTTGTTCGTATTGTTTGATTATGTTTTACTCAATTTTGTTATGTATATACTCTTTTTAAATAACATGTTTTTTTTTAAGAATTCATGTTTAAAATTAAAACGGAGTAAAATCAATAAATGTCTTTTCAATGCCGTAAAACACACTACAAATCTGTTCCATTAAAATATGCTGCAAAAATAAAGAAAGAGTATTAAAACAATGGCAACAGTTAGGATCGAACCACAGACCTCTCAATTATCAGGCATTCTCTTTACCGACTGTCCTATTGTGAATTAACGAAAACCTTCACATTAAGCTGGCGTGACTTTCAATCCATGACTAATATACTCCACATTAATTCTCGTAAACTACACGGACCAAACCGAAGTGGGATCGAATATTTAAATGAGTCCTATAATGTATTCATAATTGACAGGTCAATAAAATCAGACTATACTTTCTCAAAAACGTACTGATATCTTATCGTACAAAACAGTTTTATTAAAGAACAGTTTATGTATACCCAGAGAATCAGACATAATTTAGACTCAACTGGATCAGACTAGGTCTACTGTGGAAAGCTCGGCCGTCGTTCGCACTATCCCTTCAAATGTCAAAGGTGTAACCACTCCAAATTCCGAATAAGCCTTGCAATGTAGTCATTTTTGGGATATTGTCGGAACTTTAAATGGATGGTATATGCTTACATAATATTCAAATTTTTTAGTCAATATGATGTTGAATTCCCGCGTATTGCAACAACGATTATTGGTGGTTATTGTACGGGAAATAGGCGAGACATCACAGAGATGTGTTATACGTTTGCGGAATGAAATCGTTTGCTATAAACGATTTGGGTTGGTCGTACAGCATGGTTAATGGTGTAAGAGATGTGTTTTGAAGTACGTGCGTCACTGGTTATTTAATTCCGAAACTTAGATATTCATGTCAAGGCAAAAGGTTAAACCAATACGTACAATGATGCTTAAAGGCCTGATCAACTAATGAAAATCTCAACATTCGATTGAAGGAATCGATGACAAGATACTTAAAAGAAACTTTGATGTCAAATTTCAAGAACGTCTCGCTTTCGTCCTTTTAATGAAACGGGTTCCTTGCCTTAAACCAGATCTATTTAACTTTCAAATTTAATAATCTAAAAATTTCCTAGTTATTGTTATCAAAAATGGGCACACCTTCTTCTTTTTTGTTCGTACACTGCTGCGCACTTCTTAGGTAGTCCCGTGTGGCTGATTTATGTCGGGGGCTATGTTCTGTGAACATCCCCCAGTCTATTTCATTTTTGTGTTCGTATTTCTCTGCGTCATAAAAATTCTTTGAAGTATCAGCATTGCAATATTGAGGGTCGGAATTAGCTGTCTACTGGCGCTCAGCCCCCTTAGACACTTTAGTAATTTCGAAAATTACACGAAAATAGGCTGTTTCATAATGTCAGAGGGATTCAATGTGCAATTTATTTTCCACATGAGGTTTTTGATTATTTATTAATTGCAAGAAATATAATTCTGTCAATACACATTGTATTATCTGTGCTAGGATAATTTCCCTTGTTAACTGTTTCTTCTATATGTTAAAATAACATTACTGGATACACATTTTGTGTGTTTTGCATTGTTTTACGTAATTGGTAGTCTCGTTACCTTGGAAACATTTAAAACTCAAAGCTGTGTAAAATGATTTGTGAAAGGAAACGCAGTTAAACAGAACCTAAATGTCTGAGAAACTCAACTAGAAAGTGAAAGAACTTTAAAATCTTAAAAAGTTTCCTGAACTCTTTAAGACTTCCTATTATTCAATCATTTATTAGTTTTCTTTGAATTCCTTATCAGTTACAAATCATTTATCATTTTAGTGATTAATCTGTCTGTGCCCTGTCCTGTTTTTGTTGGGTCCGCCTGGGCTCCTTGCCACTGGTTCTTGTTGCTTGGTCGTATGGGGGTTGCGTTCATTGAACACCGCTTTTCCATGTTGATCTTGTTTATCATATTTTTTGACTTGACGTATACTAGTTTTAGAAAGATCCTTCATATTAGTTCTCTTATTTTAGAATTTCCAAAGAGATTACCAATTTTAAAAAGACCAATGAAATTTCTACTCAGTCTACTTACTATATATATATTTTATAGGAAGTCAAACTGATTTTAGACGGCCTTCGGCCTGAAAACTTGCAACTGTTACAGTTTTTACTTTAGCTTGCTTCCTTGTTTCGGCTTGTGCGTTGTGCAATTGATAGTCGCGAGTTTACAAAACAGGGAATAATACTTTCAAAAGTGAAGAAATAAAAAAGTCAATTTAAGTATGATTTAACTTCCATATAAATCATCAAAATAGAAGATATTTCAAAAATTGCACACATTATTCAACGCTGGTTATTGAGAATTGTAAACTTATATTGCAAACTTATCGAATTCGGTACCATTTAACACACCATAGTCTTAGCTATCAGGGAATCGCATTGGTCATTTTTTAAAAAAGCATGTTTATATAAATGATCATTCTGAAAAGTATAAACGTCAAAATATAGGATAATCTATAGGAATATCGGAAACAAACTTTCCAGTTAAATTTTTAGGATATTTGAGATTTGTGAACCTTTTCCTCATAAATAATTTACGCTGTTTATAATTTTGTTATTAATTATCTAGTGAATAGCTTATTGAACATAAAAATTTACCTAGGTATAAATGACTAAATAATGATCACGATCACGGAAACACGTGGCTACAGGAAGACAACAACAAAAAAACAACACAACAACAACATTCTGGCGCACGCAGTAGATAATGTTCACTGTTCATGATATATCATATGATTTCTGATGTTTTCCATTGTATAAATTTCAAAATGTTGGGCATATTGATAAACCATATATTAACATATGAATACGTAAGTGTACACGACAGTTCTATATAGAAACATATCTTGCAGTGTTTCATAGAAATAAAAACTTAAACGTTAAATAAATTACACAACTCTGAAATAACCTTTGCAAGTAAAGGGAGTTTAAGAATATCGTGTAAGGATACTTCTTGTTACCTATGCCCCCAAAAAGATACACTTATTGGTATGTGGATATCAAAACTATTGATAAAAAAGAAATCATATCAATAATAATTACAATAATAACCGGATTATCGCAACAGCTTGCAGACTGAATTGAACAACGAAACGAAGTGAAATATTTACAGCTGCACATTTAAAGGATATGGTTATTCGAATTTTGGAAATTATTCAAGAATGTACAGGACGTCTCTCCTTGTTCTCGTTATATTTATTTCTTTGGCGCGGTTATGTTCGAGTCGGACGAACGTTTTGTTCTTAATTGCAGACGATATGCGTCCACAGATTGGAGCATATGAAGGAAAACATTTTCCAGCTGTGGTGTCTCCAAAAATGCATACACCGAGCATAGATGTTCTGGCTTCACGTAGCTTGCTACTTGAAAGATCTTATTGTCAACTTGCAATTTGTGCGCCGAGTAGATCGTCACTGTTGACTGGGCGCAGACCAGATACTACACGTGTCTACGAGATTGGACCTTACTTCCGGGAAGTTGGTGGAAATTTCACAACATTGCCACAATATTTTAAAATGAATGGCTATTTATCTGTTGGAATGGGAAAAGTGTTCCATCCAGGTGAACCCTCTGGCTGGGATGATCCTGTCTCATGGTCAGATCCTTACTTCAGCGGCAAAACTAACTTTGAGTCCTTTAATTCAACATGGTCTGCAGTCCCCGATGAGCTTCTCATAGATAACCCCCTAATAGACGAGCAAATTGCTAACCAAGCAATAGCAACAATGCAAAGACTCGCAACAGATGCCAGATCGGGTAAACAACCATTCTTCTTAGCCGTTGGGTTTAGGAAACCACATTTGCCATTTGTTTTTCCGGAATCATTTTTAAAGTATTATCCTGTTTCTACAGTTAAGCTTCCAAGCAATCCTTATATACCTGTCAACATGCCAGATGCCGCATGGTTTGATTATCCGAGGGCTCAGAAGACACGCGATGTTAGAGCGTTTAATGTTACCGGAGAATCAATTCAACTCTGCCAGATATTTTGGCACTTCAGTAAGAAGGCGTATTACTGCTCTGTATCATGGAGACTGATTCTTTGATAGGTCGTGTTTGGCAGAATTAGACAATCTGGGTTTATCAAAATACACAATAGTCTCGTTTTTTCAGGATCATGGTTACACGCTTGGGAGCCACACTTCAATGGACAAAGCAAACAAATTTTGAACTGGCCACATGACCCACACACGCACCGATGATGATCAGTATACCAGGGCTTCGACAAAGGGGGGATACGTTCGGAACAACTTTACCGAACTTGTTGGACTTATTTCCCGACTTTAGTTGAACAGCTGGGTTTCAAAAGTTATTTCCCAAAAAATTCTGTTAACGTGTCGTTGGCAGCGAAGGTTCAAGTCTTATTCCCCCTAAAAGAAAACCCTTAAACCCAATAAAAAAAAGCTTTTTTCCGCAATATCCAAGGGGAAACTTTCCATGCGAACGATGGTTCCGCATAAGAGGGGACAAAATTTCAAACCTAATTTATAAACCCCGAATGGGGAAATCAAATGTGGAGTCAAATTTGTATGACCATTTAAAATAGACGTGAGAAAATTTTTAAATGCTTATATGATGAATAAAGGTATAAAAAAAGGGCTCATAAAAACAAAATGGCTGGGGGAAGTATGGAGGATTAAAAAATTTTGCGAAATTTACAAATTCAAAACAATTTAGTTTATTTTATTTTATAAACCCGAGTCAAAATTAAAAAAGACTTAACGTGTTAAAATTTAAAAAATGATCTGAAACTTAATTAAATTTCTCTTTTATTTATTTCGATATACTTAAACAAACCTAGTCTTATACGTTTTCAATCCCTCAATGATTTCATTTATCCCATTTCGTAGATGTTAGTGTTTAAAATTATGTATTCGAATTGGAATTTCAATAGGAATCATTTATCTTAACATCATGGGAGCAAACTCTCAAATGCTTAAGTGAAATAATTGAAGTAGATTACAAAAGTAACGTCCCGTTTTCATGTTCTGTTAAATTGTGTGTCTTGAAATGTTCCCTGTATTTGTAAAAAAATGAAAATATTCATGAAAACCGGGTTTAAAATGATTTTAACGCATCGCATCGTCTTGCAAGACATTTTCACCATGGCTACATCTATTAAATGAATGTATTGGAATGTAAAACGCAGTCTCGCAAAATATTTCGGAATCTGCTGAATGGGCGAGTCCATTGTTTTCGTATTTCAATTTCAATGTACAGCTCATAAATCTATGGGAAACGCGCGCCTGGTTGATATACATTATAAACCCAAAGGGCTTCTGTCATTTCAATTAAAGTCAAATGTATATGGGCAGTTTTACCAAACGTCCTCATTTTGTTTTTAAACTGCAACATAAAATATATGCACGAACTTTTTTTCAAACGAGTATGCATAAAAAAGTTTTTAAAAATATGACACTTACAAGACTCTAATCGAAATGTTTATTATTTTATAGAATATAAAACTTCGCAGTGTAAAATGCTGACAAACATAATTCACTTTATTGTTAAAACCACTTAAGTCAAAACATTACATTTTTATAACAACAAATGAAAAATGAAATGATTTACAGATTACGTTATGCCTAAAATGGTACTGATTTCCAATATAAGTTGTGTGCAACAACAGCTATTTAGTGCAGGGTGGCAACAAACACATGCCCATACTAAATTTCAGTGTTGTTGCATTTTTCTGGTCTTTCGGGCTCATTGTTCCTCTCATAGTATGGCTTGAATATTTGAAAACCGCTTTAACCGGTGCTAGGGGGCGTGAGGGATGTTGCTGAATCCTTCATTGACAAACTCAGCAAAATCAGGTCTGCATTTTTCACGTAATTTTGTTGTTGTTGTTTTATTGCTTTCGAAAGATCTTTTTATTTTCTCGATTTTTAGTGTTTCGGATCGGTGTCAAGATACATCTGTAGCGTTAGACCACAACACGTCGAAAACATTGTGATTTTTTAATATGAAATTGCGGTTGATTAAATACAAAAACAAAACTTCAAACAAGTTAAATGTTGATGCTGTACATCAAAGACGCCGCAAAATGATGTGAACAGTCACATGTAATCTTAATAATCGTTCTCTATTACAGTTGAATATCCGAAGCACTAATCATGTTTTCTCCATGTTCTGGTCGAAGCAAAATAAATTGGATAACAGGTAAAATTTAAATGATTGGTATACATAAAATAGTTCAAGACAAAGACAGAGGTTGCGCCGAGAATATGTCCATTTAAATATTGGTGCGAATTGCATACTGTTCGAATGATTTTGAGGACCAACTGCCTCTCTGATAGTGTCGCGGTTTAGGCTTTGTAACTTGCATCCTAATGTTGAAGGGCAGTGATATTGAGTTGTCCCTCCGTCAACGAAGACTAAATGCTAGCATACAGAGAATCATATTAAATTTTGCGACAATTTAAGACGGAGCCGTACTTTAACAGAGGCGGAGCAAATGAAGTGAGTGACACTGCCTCAGTCGTTACCTCTCTTTAGAACGGTCGACTATAGATTGGCTCATTGGCGCGTTATTTATTAGGTAAATAAATTAGGTAAATAAAATTAGATATTGATAAAAAGAATATGATATTTAAACTTTTTTTTTTTTAGTTTAATAATATTTTATTGCATATTTTGTACATGATTAATTTACACAATCTAACATCAATATCTTAAGCATGAATATAATGTACATACAAAAGGGTTGGACCAAAAGTTATACCAACATTATCTAGGGTCCTCCCCTGAAGGTCTATCTTGTTGGCTTAATGGTAACATAGTAAGTAAATGTGGTTTTTAGAAATTCTGAGATATTTATTTATATGATAAGCGATATTAATTTCATGTATTTTAACTGGTAGAAAAGAATCGCTTAACCTAAAAAAACAAAGAAAATTACAAAATGACTTAATGAGGTAAAATGGAAAAAAAAAATATATGCCATTAACAATTTGCCACTATAATAAACGCACCAAACCTTGATTTGCAGCAGTATTTTAATAAACTTAATATGAAAATAAATATAGTATATGTGTAAACAAAATTAGGTAAATCTTCTACTACTTTTGATGTAATTATGCACTTCTTGAAATAGTCTTATGTTTTCGGCTTCTGCAAGTCCATCAATACCGTGTAATAATTTCTGACTACTGAGAGGATGAAATAACCTTTATTAAGAAAAGTATACGTTTTTGCAAAGTATATAATTTACATCGGAAAAAATAGCTAGTACTGCTCATTTTCAACGTCTGCGCCGCATTGGCATAATGGAATTGAAACTAGGTGGTTATTAAAGTTGTTACAATTGTTTCTAAACCGGTTTTGGTGGACATCCGTATAAGAAAAAAGATGGAACTACTGGTGGTTTATATAACTATTTGGTCTTGTTTTTAAATGTAGCTAGCGATTGTGATTCGCGAATGTTTGTCGGAAGCTTATTCCATAATTGAATAGCTGATGGAATGACTGATTTTGAGTAAATTTCGGTACGTCTGGCTAAAGTAATATAGTCACTATTATTTCTTAACGAATAATGGTTTTTCTAACGCCATCTCGACAGATGGTGGAAAAAAGTTGCATAAGATATTGTGGTAATAAATTATATTTTCCTTTATACATTAAAACTAGTTTTTGAATTTGTCGTCTGTCTGAAAGTGAAACCCATCCTATCTCCCTAAGTAAATATTGAATTGATACGGATCTAGTTAAACCAGTTACCACGCGAGCTGCTTCGTACTGAATTTTTCTAACGTTTCTTTTTCAAGCTGTGTGCAATTATCCCATACTAAAGATGCATATTCTAAATGTGGACGTAAATAAGATATGTAAATGTTATTTAGAGTATTTCTTTTTACCTTGAATTTTAGCATTTTCATTGAACCATGAATTCTTGCAGCTTTGGATACTATAATAGATATATGTTCATGCCATGACCCATCTTGACTGAATGTTACCCCTAAATGCTTATGGTGGTCTACATATTTAAGCTGTACATTATTGAAAAAAAAGATTCGGTTTATTTCGATGACAAAATGAAAAGAACATGACCTCAGTTTTTGCTGGATTGAAATTAACAAGCCATTGTTTAGACCATGATGTAATTGTGATAAGGTCTTTATTAAGAAGTTCTTCCATATACGAGACATCTTTAGATGAGACTGCCAACGAACTGTCGTCGGCAAAAAGTCTAGTTACACTTAGAAGGGATTCGGCAATGTCATTAACATAGATTAAAAATAAAAGAGGACCAAGGACGGATCCCTGGGGGACTCCTCCAAGTAATGTTGTAGTATTAGAGAAAGAGGAAGACACAAAAACTTTCTGAGACCTATTATAAAGATAGTTGTTTAACCATGAGATCAATTTTCCTAGAATTCCATACTGTTTTAATTTGAAGATAAGACCTTTATGCCAAACTCGATCAAACGCTTTTGAGATATCGCAAAATATAATACATGTTGATACTTTGTTGTCAAAAGCTTTATTATTTAAGTTTTAGAACGGTCGACTATAGATTGGCTCATTGGCGCGTTATTTATTAGGTAAATAAAATAGGTAAATAAAATTAGATATTGATAAAAAGAATATGATATTTAAACAAGGCACTATCACTTCAGTTAAACGTTTATTTTTATTTCTGAAAACACGGTGACATGCTGTACATCAGAAAAGTTATTTTTATTAGAAAATTTGAAAACAGTGCACTAACAAAGTTCTATGCTCCTGCGTTTATGAATAAATTATGCAAATGAGCCTGGTTGAGCCGCCATGTTGGAGTTTCGGTAAGCGTGTTGGAAATTGCTACCTGTTCGTTTTGAAAGCTCGTCCTAACTTACAGTTTCCTTGAATGTAGGAAAACTTGGTTTTGTTTGATTGCATATTGAATGATAGGTATTACAAAATAAATATAATGAAAATCGATCAATCAATTATTGTATACGAGCGTTATAAAGTCAATTTAATTCGTCAGAATAATAAGGTTCTGTTGCAGGGTATCGGTAAAAGACTGCTTTTTTTCCCGTTTTTGAAATTTATTAGAACACGG